TCTGAAGTTTTCCATACCTTTGTTCAACTCCTGTTTTACATTTTGTGTTGTCTTTATTTCACATATCTCTTTTTTTAATAATGTCCTTTGTTTCACTTTGGTGTTTGTTGAAGTCCTCTCTGAGTTAATTGTTTCTGTGTCTTCTCATGTTTTTTATTTGTGGTATCTTGAAATTTCTTGAGTGTATCTTGTACTTTCTTGTACCTTGTCCATGAGTTTCTCAGTGATCTTTACCCTGATTTCCTTCTTGAGTGATTTTTTTATGGGTGTCACTGGGTTCATTGGTGACATTTCTTGTTTTTGTTGTGGTCAGGAACTGGGTATCCATTTTCTTCATTTCCCAGTAAATCCTCTATTGAATTGTTTTTTCAAGGGGTTTGATGCCCTTCCCTTTTTCTTCTCCCCATTGCTCCAATTGGTGTGTGTAACTGTTCTTGATAGGCTAGTTGTTGGTTTTAATTGCCTGTTTTCTTTCCTTTGATTTAATTTTTGTGTGTGACTGACTTGGTTGTTAGCTAGTTTGATGTGCGCTTTCTGTTCCTGGCCTGGAAGTGTAAATTAGCAATAACAAATTCAGGTTCAATGTCAGATCAGTTGTTTACAAATTATATAGAAAACCCCTTGGTGATAATATCTGTAAACAGTGGGAGTTGAGGGGGAATGGTTCTTTGGCTAGACATAGAAACTTAGGTAAATGGTAAAGGTGGCGCTGAAAGGTGGTGGGGAGGAAGTATGGGGGCTGCTGGGTTTTGTGGCCATTGTGTGTATTAGGTTGTATTTCTGCTTTTGTAGTCTAAGGTGCTTATGTCATGGATTTCAGGGAGCTGGGGGTGTGTATGGTTGGTACAATAGGCTAGTCAGCAGGTGGTGAGTATGTAGGCTGGAGTGGTAGTGTGGTGACAGGTTGGGCAAGGATAGAGGGGTAAGCAAAGACTGAGAGAGAGTGGATGAGAAGGGGCAGAAAGAGTAGTTGGGAGGGAGAACAATGGATTGTAGCATATGAAAAGGAGGGAAAGTGAAGGGAGTGAGAGTAGTGATAAAAGAATAGTGATGGTTAAGTTGATAATACAAAAAAAACCAGGTACAGCAACAACAAAACGTTCAGTCTGCTTGGTAAAAGTTCTGGAGTTAGTCCTTTGGCATCCAATACTGGTACTGGCCCTTGGTGTTCTGGGCTTTATGGGGAAGGGTGCTGCCCCTCTTTATGGACAGCTTAAGGTGGAGACAACTGGAGGGTTGTTTTCTTTTTTTCCCTTTTTTTTCTTTTTTCTTTCGTCTTATGGACCATCCGTTACAAGTGAGACCTCTGAAGTGGTCTCACCAGGGGACTGGCTTGTGAGCAGTACTTGGTTCCTTCTGTCCACAGAGCAGGATGCAATTGAGATACTCACTGTCAGTTCGTGCAATGTGGTCAGAACTATTTTTGTTTTCACCAGGCATCTGTGTTGCTATATAGCTGCAACTCGGTCTGGTGGGCTCCTCCCCAGCAAGGTGGGGGTATTCAGTTTTGAGTACTGCCCTCAGTCCCCCAAGACCAGCTCAGGGATCCACCACTGGACCCTCTTTGGGAGGTTGGCTTGTCACCCCACCCCCACTGTCAGTCCTTGTACCTCACCCCACCTCTGCTAGGTATTAGTTCAGCTCCTCTGGGAGGTTGGCTTGTCACCCTCCCTTTGTTACTTTTCCTGCCTTCCTTCACTGAGAGTTCAGATCCTTGCCCCACCCCTGTTCTCCAGGGCAGGTTCAGCGTTCCTCCTCATCCCTGCTGTCCGTGTTGATTGCAATTTGCTGTTTATGCTTTTCACTTTTGTTGGAGGGGATGTTCAATCTGCCTAGGGGCTGTGCTGGATTATTTTCTAGGAGTGTGTGAAGGGCAGTCGTGTGTGGTATGTGATGCTTACCTGTTCGTTCTGCAGATTCACGCAAGGGCTTTGGAGCCAGCGGGCAGGGAAAAATGGCCTGTCACTTTTCTCAAGGCAGATACTTAGTGTGACTTGGTTCAGCACAGCATGGTGTAGGGAGGCTTTCCACAAATTAGAGGTCCCAGGGCCTTCTTAGTTACTAAGAAGACAGTGGTACATGAGGTAAAAGCCCTGCCTTATGGAATATATAAAAAAAAAAACAAAAAAACAAATAGTGAAAACACACTGTGATAAGTGTTACAGGTAGAACGTAGGATGTTCTATATGCATGTAAATATGGTCCACCACTTTCTTCAGAAAAGATGTGCTTTTTATTGGAAGCAACAAATGCGGAAGTAATGTATAAAGTGAGACCCAAAGAATGAGTGGAAGCTAGTTAGGCATAGAATATTGGAGGAGAGGAATACTCCACATAAAGTGTAACTACCAAAGAGAACATGCCACATTTGGAGAACTAAAAACCTTTAGTATGTCTAAAGCCTAGAGTTTGATGGAGAGGTGACCAGAGATAAAACCGTAGAGCTGAGCAGGGACTAGTTTATTACTGGTCTTGTGACTTACAGAATTTAGATCATTATAAGGAAAATAGGAAACCATTGGGATTTTTAAGTCAAGGGAACTGAATAACTTGATCAAAATTTGTACTTCAGAAAGATCGTCTTTATTAGTAGAAAGTTAACACTGAGAAAAATCAAGAAATAAAGTTATAAATGTTATTTAGAAATAAAAGAGTAGAGCACTTGCCTAGGCCCTGGGTTCACTTACTAGCCCTAAAAAAAGAAAAGAAATAAGAGGGCAAATATTAGAAGAAATAACTGAAAGAATTGAGAATGGCTGTTCTTGAGGAATAGGAATCGGGGTAGGAAAGAATTAGGTCAGGAACTGATTGTTGGGTTTGGGTTGATTCCTTTCCCCACCACTACCACCCACCCAACTTTCATAGTGATTTGATTTTCCCAGTCAGCATGTACTCTGGCATAACACTTGAGTGTGAGTGCTAAGGTTAGAGTGACTCATTTAAATCTTACCTCTACTTCTTAGAAGAAGTTAAATCTTACCTTGCTTCTTCAATGTGTTTAAGCTTTTCTATATAAAAAAATGGAAATAATAATACAAATTATCTCATAGAATTTTTGTAAGGATTAAATGAATTAATACAAGTAAAACACTTAAAATAACATATGGTACATTGTAAAAGCTTAAAGGTTAGCCTTTATTATATATCAGATATTACTTAGATGCCTAGGATATGAGATGAATAGAAAATTTAATTATTGTGGGGTTTTTTTGAAATATTGCTTTTTCTGATCAAAAGAATAAGCAGATAAAAAACAACAGGTAAAGAAGATTTTCTCAACCTGATTGATTATTAAAATTAATGTAATTCATGTATAAAGAATATTTATTTTAAACAGCTGTAAGATACACATTCTTTTCAGAAACTCATGGAACATTTACAAAATTGACCAAAAAATGCTCAAATATTAAAAAGCAAAATATGTTCACAATGTCTTTAAGCTCAGAGTCAGCACAAAAGATATCTAAAAAATTCCCCATCAGGTTAGAAATTTTAAAATATACTTATTATTAACACTGAAGTCAAAAAGGAATCATAATTAAAATTGGAAAATAAAAAAAAACTATTATCAAAATTTGGGATGCTCTTAACATCAGAGTTTTACATTTTTTAAAAGGAAAAAATCCGAAAATTAATGAGATTTTATTTCAGGTAACTAGAGAAAAAAGAAAGTGGAAGAGTATATTTACTAACAAAGGGACCAAGTTCATAGCTGCAAGCCAGAAATTAGCCCTGTAACCAGGCTCTTCTGATCAGACCTGCATAGCAAAGATACTAAACTACATAAACTTTCATATACTGTCAAAGGGAAAGTAAATTGGTATATCCACTTTGAAAAATAGTTTGACGTTAATAAAGTTGAAGATGTACATACTTTTTAAACCTGCATTTCTTTTGCAAAGTATATACACCAGAGAAGAACTGCAAATGTGTACCAGAAAACATAATATTCATAGTCCCATTATTGGTAGCTGTTCAAAACTGTGCAATAGTTAAATTGGGGTGTATTATTGCAATTCGTATTACAGTGCAGTAGAATAAAAAAGAAATGAAAAGTACTGACCAGATGAATTCATCAGTCTTCAATCTTGTTTCTTTTGAATAGAATTATATTTACAAGACATGTTTATGCAAAGTTGAAAAATAGGCATACCATAGTATAATAGATGTTCAGGTAAATAGTTTATGGTAAACGGGTAGTTTCTACTTTCTAAAACAGAAATCTTGAACACTGATTGACAAAGAAAAGTTTAGGTTTTATTCAATTCTGTAGGGAACAAACAAGGAAACAGAAATAGCTTGTATTTACAGTTTTCATCTAACTAAACAAGAAACACTTTTTCAGGCTTTTGTGTTAAATATAGAGCTCTGAAATCTGGAATTTAAACAAATACCTATTTTTTTAAACAAACACTAAATGTGCAAGTTTTAATTACAAAATGAAATAATTCTATACCCAAGGAGTTCTGAAGTTGACATTTACACTAAACTCATTTTTCAAATGATTTTCATAAGAATTCATTGAAATTTGTATTATAATTGATACATCAACTTTCTTATAGTGCTCAGATAAACTCTTACTTTTGACTTCATTAATACATCTGACTTTTAAAAATTATCAAGGTATATATTTTTTTAAATTCCCACCCTGGTACTACTTGCTGCTCTTTGGATATGTAACTTAACAAGATCCTAAATATACTTTTACATGTAACACAGTTTTCAGAAGTTGGTTCATTTTAAATCAGTTGAATTCTAAAAAAAAACAGATTTTTGTCTCAAAAGCCCTGTTTATAGTGAAAGTTTTTAAAGTGGAGATAACAAACTCAAATGTCTTCAGTGGTCGTGGAAGAAATAAATGAACGGAGCAGGAAGGAATGTAACTGTAGCAAGTCTACCTCACACAATCCTCCCTATGTAAAAAGTGAAGCCCCTACTGAACTCCATCTGTTGTCTCATCTAATTTTCAAAATATGTCATATATTTGGCAATTGATTTAGATATTTTTAAACATTGCAAATCATCCAAAACAACTCTGTGGGCAGATATTTCCTAGGTTTTTAGTTTCCAAGAAACTTCAAGGGTCTTTTGCTTTTTGTTGTCTTTTACATAGTCGACAGAGGTATGTTCTTGGAGACACAGCGATGCAGAAGATGGCGAAGTCCCATGTTTTCTTAAGTGGTATGGGTGGTCTTGGTTTGGAAATTGGTAAGCAATGTTTTTATCCATTTTTATGTGACACTTTTGAGCTTTGTAATTTAAATAACTCCTTCTCCTTGTATTTCAAATAAAGGAAATCTGACCATACCCTTGGTCAATTCAGTTTTGGTTCTTCTAATAAGACTTTCACAACTCCAATAACATTTTCCAGAAGGAACCAATAATGCCTCTCACTGTTTCTATTTTTTGTGATGTTAGTAGTTATTAATGATCATCCTTTATGTCCATTAATTTGTTATGGTAGCACATAGGTACAGTCATAAAAAGTTTACAAGCTGTTTTGTTTCTTTTTTGTTAATCTGTATTTCCTACTTTTTTTTTTTTTAAAGGAGGAACTGAGTAGTTAAGAAAAAGTTAAGAGTTACCCAGTCAGAGATGTGGCCAAGCTCCATGAGTTCCTAATACAAGTTACTCCTTTTTCTTTTTTTCTTATAGCAAAGAATCTTGTTCTTGCAGGGATTAAAGTGAGTATATGTCCTTTGTATGAAAAATTATTATGAGTTATTTTGGTTTTGCTCATTTGTAGTGGTAATGTTATTTACATGATGGCTTATTGTTTCTTCATTTTATACCAAAATTGTTTTAATGCTCTACTTTCTCTTTGTTTAAAAAGTTTATTGAAATCTCAAAAGTATGGAAATTGAATAGTTTAACAAAACCCCTTATACCTGTCACACAGCTTCATTTATCAAGTCCATGAACACATTTTTTTCATTTATCTTCTTGCATTTCCACTGCCCACAACTGCCAAATTATTTTGATGTAAACCTCAGACATTGTCTTGTATCATCCTTAAGTATAATATTATAGCCATTAATGATCATTGCCTAGATACATCATTTCATTAGAAGCAACAGTTATACTGTATCATTCTTTCTCACTTACTAGTGGGAATAATATTTTAGAAAGAAAATTTTCCTTTCATCACTTACTTAATTTCACAAAAGTGTAAATTACACATGCACAAAAAACAAGACAAATACTTGAATTCCCCTCCATTTATCAACTTTCAAAAATCATTGACTTTAAGTTGGAGGCCTGACTTACGGACGTAAGTGCTAGGGTGCCTGCCTAACAAGCCCACGGGCCTGATTTCAAGCTCCAGTACAACTGTCAAAAAAAATCCACTGGTTTCTTATCCTCCAGCAATGACCAGTGAATTAAGTCTTTGTGTCTTTCAGTGTGTGCATGCATGTCATGATAATGATATACACGTAAGTTGATCTAAAAATAATTTGATATGTTGTGATCCATTATAGGCGTTATTTCCATCGATTCTAAAATTGTTCAATCTTTGGGTTAGTGAGATCCTCTAGTTTTTGTGCTTGCTAGATAGGCAGTCTACCACTTTCACCACATCTCCAGGCCCATTTTTTGGCAGTTCTGGGGCTTGAACTCAGGGCTTCATGCTTGCCAAGCAGGCGTTTTAACACTTCAGACACTCTAAAAACCACTTTTAAATATTTTTGATGTACAGAACTAGAACATTAGCTGTGAGTATGCACAGAAATTTCTGATTTTCAAGTTTAGAAATATAAAACATTACTAAAATTTCTAATTCACATTTGCAGTTACTGGATTACATCTTTAATTTTATGTTTTGTTGGCATTGGGTTTGAACTTGGGACCTCATGCTCACTAGGCAGGCACTCTACCACTTGAGCCACTCTGCCAACTGATTTTATGTTTTGTTTTTCTGTTAAAAGGATTTTGGCTCCTTATTACATTAACCTAGTTGCTTATTTGTCCTATCTTATATTTAGCCTGTGTGACAAATTCAGAATGCCAATTTCACTATTAATAACTATATTATTGAAAGAGTTTTTTTATCCTTTTTAAAACCACATTTAGGTTTACCAGTTGGTTTTTTAAGTCACTTAAAGTAGTTTTTTTGGTTACTCAGGCAAGCAATTCAGTAAATGGTTAAATCTATTTATTAATTTTGCTTTGAATTTTTAGGGATTAATTTTTAAATGTAATTTTACTATTATATGAGAGTCATTTGACTCAAAGTCAAATTAATAAAGTATGTCTAGCTTCTCTCTACCCTCTTCCTTCACTTACTAGGTCACCCCTTTTTTAAAATGTGGTTTACTCTTCCATTGTTTTAAATGCACGTAAATGCATCTACACATAAATGAATATCTGTTTATGTATATATGTATATGTATGTATTTCATTCCTGAGCAAGGTTGAACATCTTTACATATATTTTCAAGAGCACTATGCATTTCTTTTTTCAGTATATTCCTTATAAATTAATCTTGCTCCTTTTTTGATAAGCTTTGTGGCCTGATATAAGTTCCAAATATTTTTTCAAGTTTGTCGATTATTTTTTATTACTTGGTGCATGTAGTATTTTTGAAATGTTTATTACATGAACTTTCTGAATTTTTGTACTTTTATTGTGGTACAGGCACTTGAATTGAAGGCCTACACCTTGAGCCACACCACCAACCCCCCTTTTTTGTATGTGTGTGTGAGATGGGCCACCAGCCCCCCTTTGTGTGTGTGTGTGTGTGTGTGTGTGTGTGTGTGTGTGTGTGTGTGTGTGGTCGGTTTTTTCAAGATAGGGTCTTGTGGACAATTTGCCCAGGTTGGCTTTGAACCTCGATCCTCCTGATCTCTGCTTCCTGACTCTCTAGGATTACAAGCATGAGCCACCAACGCCCGGCTTTGTAATTTTTTAATATGCTACTTCCATAATTTCAAAATCTCTTACTGTATAGTTTCTCTGTCAAGATATTAGAGTTTCTAGATGTACATAGTTGTAGCATATGCATAAAGATGTGATTTTATGTTCATTCTAATTCTTATGTCTCTATTATTTGTTGTCTATTTATATATATTATATCCAGTACAGTAAAAATCATAATAAAGATAGCATCCTTGTCCTATTCTTTAACTCAACAGATATTTTCTTCTTTTTTGAAGGCACTTACTATTCATGATTCGGAAAAATGCCAAGCATGGGATCTAGGGACCAACTTCTTTCTCTGTGAAGATGATGTTGTTAGTGGGAGAAACAGGTAATGATATTTTCATATATTGTCATAAGACTTTTTTTTTTAAACGCTCAATAATTGAGAATATTTTCTGTGTCTAAAACATCAGTTCACCCTTAGTTGTTTAAGTTATCACCCTACATTCACACTACCATAGACAAATAAGGACTGGCATATATAATTACTTGTATGTGTCAAATTTTGGTATGTAGGTAGAAATGAATTTCTTTGCAGTTACTAAAGAAAGTCTTTTTTTTTCTCTCTTTTTTTTTTCCTTTGTTGTGCTGGGTTGGGGTACACTGTGGCATGTACAAAGGTTCTTACAGTGTATCGAATATATCATACTTGAATTCACCCTGTCCACCTCTATCCTTCCCCCCCAACTACCACCAATTCCTCGTATAGTTTCAGCAAGTATCATTTTTGCATTGACATACGTGCGTGCATGTTTTTTGCACTGTATTCGCCCTCCTACCACCTTTACCTGCCTCCTGTCCCATTCCACTGGTGCCAACCCTCTCTCCTGTGCAGGACCTGTTCTGCCCTCCTATTCTCCAATTTTGTACAAGAGAAAAGATTTAAAGAAAAACATGACATTTTTGTTTGTTTGTGATATAGGTAGCTACACAGGGCATTTCCTTGTGGTATTTCCATGTGTGGATGTATTGTAATCCCAACTGGGTTATCTCCTCTAATTTTGTCCATTCTACCTTAGTCCTTTTCTTATGGTGGTTTCAGTTGGTTTAAGATTCTATATTCATTTAAAGAAAGTTTACTATTGCTGAATCATTAAAAGATTTGTGGAACTTTGAACTTGGATATGCTTTGAAATTGTCTGGATTACTGATGAATATGACAATATATCCTGCTGTTATGTAGTTACATGATAGACAACTAAGTCTGGTCTAGAATTTATTCGGTTTCTGTTGAAATTTCATTACAATTTCAGTTTCTTCTGATATCATTAAAGTGGCCAACATTAAGAGATTGAGCAAACTGAATTAAAGGGTGGTAAAGTTGTTTTTTTTTTTTTTTTAGGGCTGAAGCTGTGCTTCATCACATTGCAGAACTAAATCCATATGTTCATGTCTCATCATCATCTGTTCCTTTCAATGAAACCACAGATCTCTCCTTTTTAGAACAATACCAGGTTAGTACATCATTTTGTTTTAAATGTTTTTATAGATTCCAAGGCAGATAATTAATATAGTGTACAACTGATGTAACCTAGTATATTAAGCAGAACAAAAAATTTCAAGTTAGAAGACTTCTTTGGAATAATACCTATCAAATGTTCCATTTTTAGAGTGCCTACCTAGCAATCATGAAGCCCTGAGTTCAAACCCTGTACCACCAAAAAAAATTAAGAAAAGACCCTAAGAATTACTGGTTATCACGACAGTTAATATACATAAAGTACTACCTATGACTCAGAGTAGTTTACAGCAACATACATTTATTTTTTCCCACTGTATCTGCATGTCAATTGAAAATTCAGCTGTTCTAGGCCCAGGTTAGCCTAGATTGAACCCAGAGTCTGTATTCTGTCCATGTGTCTCTTCTGGAACTAGAAGGCTACCCACTTCATGCTCTACTGGCAAAAGGAGAAACACAAAAAGGCAAGTTCAACCACTCAAGCACACCTAAAGCCCAGTTCATATTGTTTCCATTCATGTTACATTGGCAAAGTAAATCACATTGTCAAGCCCAAAGTCAAGAATTGGCAAAGTACATTCTTTACTTCCTAAGGAGCCATAATAAAGTACATGGATCAATAATTGACTGTACCATAGGTACCAATTTCCTAAATAAAAGGAAGAACAAAATCTTCCAGCACCTTGGATATTACAAAAATAACTAGATTGACTTTGATTTGAACTGGACTCCTCCTTGTCTCTCACTCTGTAGAAAAATCAACTCAAATGGATAAAAACCCTAAATGTAAGACCTGAATTTATGAAACTACAAGAAGGAAATGGGAAACACTTTGAAACATTGATACAGGCAATGGTTTTCTGGATATGACTCCACAAATACAATGAACACACAAAAATAGATAAATGGGATTACATCAAATTAAAAATCTTGTGACAGTAAAGGAAACAATCAACAGAGTGAAGATATAACTTACAAAATGTGCTGGAACTGCCATAGCTCAAGGGATAGAGCACCTGCCTAGCAAGCCTGAGGCTCTGAATTCAAAATCTAGTACAACCAAAAAAAGGGAAACAGAATAAGATAAAATATTTGCCACCTATCCATTGACCAAAGGATTAATATCCATAATATACAAGGAACTAAAAAAAACCTAAGAGCATTAAAACAAGTAAATCAATCTTGATCTGAACAGTCACTTTGGGAAATGATGTGAATTGATACCTCTCAAAAGAAAAAATGCGAATAGCCAACAAAATATATGAAAAAATACTCAATGTCATTAAATCATCAGTGAATCTAAATCAGAACTTCATTGAGCTATCTCACCCCAATCAAAATAGATATCATCAATAAAACAAAATCACATTCTGGCAAGCAAATCGAGAAAAAACCTCCCATGCACTTTGGTAGAAATGTATAATTATGGAAAACAGTATACTGGCTCCTCAGAAAATTAGTAATAGTTCTGTGTGATCAGCCTGTTCTGCAGGGTGTGCATTCAAAGGAAGTAAGTCAACATACCAATGAAGTAATCTACATACCCACTTTATTAAGGCACTATTTACAATTTTGAAAATACGAAGTCAAATATAGGTGTCCTTCAGTGTATGGATGGATAAAAAAAAAGTTTACCCTCAGAAATAGAATATTTTTTAGCTATAATGAAGAATGAAATCCTGTCATTTGAAAAATAATGAATGTAATTAGAAGATAGTATTTTAAGTGAAATAATCCAGATACAGAAAGACAAGTACTGCGTGTTTAAATTTAAAATTGATGTGAATGTTAGCATACTTCACTACTAGAAGTTAGGAAGTAGTGATGGAAGCTGGTGGATGAAGGGAGGCTCAGTTTGATCAGTGCACATTATATGCATATATTGACATAATCACACTGAACCCCCTTTCTATGTGCAGTTAATACATGTTAATTCAAAACAAAATAAAAATTTAAAGTGTGGGCATTATATTGTATTTCCTTTTACAGCCACCACTACAACCCCTTCCCACCCTTTCCCAGTAGTGCAATGCAAAAGGCTCAGTGGATTCCTTTACAAGTAGTAGTTTGCTTTAAGGAAGAATATTGAGTTTAGAGAGCTTGCTGTTTTAGAAAAAAAAAAATTTCTTTTGGCAGTACTGGGGTTTGAACTCAGGTCCTCACGCTAGCTTGGCAGGTACTCTACCACTTGAGCCCCTCTGCCAGCCCCAAACCTGCTATTTTATATAGCAAGCAATAAATACATCTTCTCTTTGTCCCTGAAGGAGACATTAGCTCATGCTTCAGGTTTTTACATGGCAAATACAATCCTGAGTAATGGCATCAAGTAAAGAGTGGGTCATGGCATAGGGAAAAAGAGTAAAGAAGAAAGACTCATGGAGGAATGTCTCACTATAGGCAGCACAGTATATTCTGAACTAGACAAACTAAAACCACACTTAAAGATGTTCTTGTAAAACTTAATATCCAGTTCGTGCATACCAGCAATGAGGAAATGGCTTTGAGAAAGTATTTAACCTCTGTGATTCTAAGGTTAGAATAAAGTCTGATTTTAAAACCTGCATATATTACAGGGTGATCATAAAAAATTAAATACATGTTGAAAATACTTTCAGTCTTAAATAGAATTGAGTGGTTTTACTGATCACACTCTTGTAAAGCAAAAGTTTATTTTGTCAATCTGTTGAATCTCAGACGTAAAAGATAACTATTTCAACAAATGTATCTTAAAATTGTAACTCTTGCCCTTTTAAACTATTACTGTGGTGGCTAGATCAGTATTTCTATGATATTAACAGATAAAACATCTCCACCTCTTCCATTTGGAGAGTGCCTAAATACCACATAGGATAATTAAGGTTTGCTGCTAATCGTGAAGCCTCTGAGGGTAAATGAAGGTCATGTGAGTCAGTTTTCCCCTGTACATGTTACTTTTGCTTATGCCATTTTATAATTCTGAAGGTATTACCCTTGGAATACAATAGCATAGTAACTTTTTCATAAAGTTAGCAATGTATCTTTAGCATAATTGGAACTAGCATAATTCTAATTTAGAAGTTGAATTTTACCCAAGTAATTGTGCAGTTTCTTTTGTTCTCAACAGTGTATAGTATTGACTGAGATGAAACTTCCATTACAGAAGAAGATCAATGACTTTTGCCATTCCCGTCACCCTCCAATTAAGGTAATGTCATTGAATAGTGGCATGCAGTTAAGCGAAGAAAGGACACTTTTACTATTAAAATTTGTAGCTTTCATTGAGTTATAAGAGAAACTCTTTTTACAAAAGTACAATCACAGTAAACGTTTTCCCGATAATTTTGATATAATATTCATTTCCTATTTTTAAATAAGATTTACATTTAGTTTTTAGAGAAATTACCAAAATTAAGGAAAATTAGGTCAGGAATTTAAAGGATGATGAGCATCATCTAACTTTAAGTGTGATATAATTGTTTTTAAGGGTTCATTATTTCTTTTCACAAGTATTCCTTCAACATGTGCTATGTACTAGATACAGGTTGATTCCTAGACTATTAACACAAGAAATCAGGCTCTTATGTATTGTACTTGAATTTATGATAAGGCCAGAATTTTTGTTATTTAATAAAAATGATAGCCAGACACCAGTGGCTCACACCTGTAATCCTTGCTACTTGGAAGGCTGAGGTCAAGAGGATCCCAGTTGTAGGCCAACCCAGGCAAATAGTTCAAAACCCCATCTCCAAAGTAAACAAAGCAAAATGAACTGGAGGCATGGCTCAAGTGGTAGAATGCCTACTTGGCAAGCACAGTTCCATAGGAGTAGAAATCATAGAATGTATGATGATGATAAACTGATAGTAGTTCTAATTTTGTTACACTAAATATTCACTCATTAAATACTAATTTTCTTTATTACTAAACTGATCTATAGACAGTTTATCCTATTTGTGATTCACTTTATGTTTCAAAAGATATACTTAATTCTGAATGAAGTAGTCATGAAAGGACCTAAGGTAATTGAGGTTTGGTTTTTTTTTTTTTTTCACATAAATAAATGGACTTATTTTTGCCATTTCACAGTTCATTAGTGCAGATATACATGGAATTTGGTCACGTTTATTTTGTGATTTCGGTGATGAATTTGAAGTCTCAGATACAACAGGAGAAGAACCAAAAGAAATTTTCATTTCAAACATAACGCAAGTATGATTGTAATGATAAACTTTTTAATAAATTTTTTAAAAGTTTTAAGTGTGAATCTTATTTTTTAAAATGTAATATTAGCAAAAATGTAATATGCAGTATTTTTATTCAGTGTTTTAAGATAATGGAATTATTTCATCAATTTTGACTACATTTTAAAACTAATTTGAAATTGGAATGTTAATTATTAAGAGTGTTCTGGATTCCTACTATTTCTTGATTGAACATCTGCTTGTCATAAATTTTAATTTCAATTTTCTTTACTGTATTCCTATAGAACATGAGTTGTTGTTCTATGTTTACCAGACTTTTGACAGTGTCTTATTATGGACCAATTAAATATGTCATAGTCACTTAGCCTAATAGTCTGGTTGGATGTAGAAAAAGCTTTTTAGATAAAAGCTTTTCTAATCTGTTACATTTCTAAAACGGTATTTAAAAGATGGGGGAGGATTTTAAGAGTTAATTAACCCTGTATTTTCTAATTACATACACTTGATCTCATGTAAACTTATTTTTTATTCCCTAAATAAGTGAAAGTCTGGTTCAAGTGGTAGAGCACCTGCTTAGCAAGCACAGAGCCCTGAGTTCAAATCCCAGTTTTCAAAAAAAAAAAAACTGGAACATTTATTCTGATCTTCTCTTAATATTCTTCTTTTATGTCTAAGTAATTTACCTTATTTGTACTCTGTAGTTAAAGCCCTCAAAAAGCCAAAACAAGGGAATGATAATATAATTTGACATAATAGTACTTGTGTTTCTGACTTTTTGCATTATTTTTAAACCCAGGGTGATACTGCCTTTCTCATGCCTTTAAAAAAAATTCACTGAAAAATCATTCTGTGTATCTTTCAGAATACAGAGTAGTTTATTGTCCTACCTGAGTTATTCTTTCAGGTAATATTAATGCTTTTCTCTTCTGTTGGTTTTAGTTTGTCCCTGAGAATAACACACTGTTAGTTAGAATAAGCTCTAAGAGATTGCATGGATTCTTGTATTGAATGGGTATTTTCACTTAAGGAATAGTGAAGGAAGTAAGCTCATAAGCAGTGTTTCTTGACTTCACAATATTGAGCAAACTGAACTACCAGATTCCCATCTTTAAAATCTCCATCCTCTTTCCATACATTTCTCTGATTTTTCAAAGTTAATTTTTTGGGGGGTTGGTAGGAGCTCCTTATACCAGTTTTTTTTTTTCAACATGAGTTTAAATATGTTTTACAAATCACAAGAATCTGAATCTATGCAATATTTGAACTCCTGTATGAAATCCCATGAAATTATTCATTATAAAATGTAGTGATAGAAGCCAGACACTGGTGGCTGTAATCCTAACTACTCAGGAGACAGACATCAGGAGGAATGTGGTTCAAAGCCAGCCCGGGCAAATAGTTCATGAGACCCTAACTTGAAAAAACCCATCACAAAAGAAAAGAAATTCTCAAGGTGTAAGCACTTAGTTCAAACCCCAGAACCATCAAAAAATAAAAAAGTGCTGGTGAATAGGCTGATCTGTGGCTCAAGTGGTAGAGTGTCTTCCCAGCAAGTATGAGGCCCTGAGTTCAAACCCCAGTGACAGAAAAAAAAAGAAGGAAAGTAGTGATAAGTTGGTCCATTATTTTGTAGGACTTCCTTTTTTTTTTTTTTTTTTTTTTTGGTTTGGTAAATTTTATTTATGGATATTAAATTTCAAATTTTGTATAATTCTCATGTTTCACAATATTATTACTCTTTTTTATTTTCCTCCAACAATTTGAAAAAGCTAAACAACATTCTTAACCTAGTACATAGTAGTTCCTTATAGGCTTTTTTTACTAATGGAGAAGAATGGAATAGAATTTTGGTTTGTGAGTTTTATAATAACATTGACATTATTGTGTGAGATTTAGGATTTATATGAATAGAATACATGAGCTTGATTTTAAAATTTTAGGCTGATCCTGGCATTGTCACTTGCCTTGAAAATCATCCTCACAAACTTGAGACAGGACAGTTCCTAACATTTCGAGAAATTAATGGAATGACAGGTTTGAATGGATCTACGCAACAAATAACTGGTAAGTTGATGTGTCTTATTAATTCAGTTATAATTACTCAGCATATTTATAATTCAGACACTATGCTCAGTGTTGAAAACACATCAACCTGATTCATGGATCTTATCCTCAAAACACTCAATTCAAATGAGAGTATGTTAAATAGTGGTAGTATTAAGCAAGAACTCTAAACTTAGCAAGCACATCTACCCAGTTTGGGGCAACAGCAGCAGTGAGGACAGAGTTTCTTGATTAAAATCTGAAGGTTTCGTTAGCTTAGGAAGGTGTTGAGAAAGAGTATTCTGTGCAGAGATAAACTGTAAAAGTCTCAGATCCAAGACAGAACTCATACCATAATAAGGCTGGCATTGAGAGTCAGAATTACAAGAGTCTTAAGACATTTCAGAGGAATCTTTGTTAGCATCTACTATAGATAGCAAAGATTTCTGCTTGGGCAACTTACTCACTTAGGCGTACAAGAAAGGTTATACTTCGGAGACAAAATATTGGTTATCATTATACTTGTTGAGTGAGGTGGCAGTGAAGTATTCAAATGGAGATAACTACATGTTGGTTGAATATATGTTCTTATTCAGAAGCTCAAATAAAAAGGATGAGTAGTTAAAACTACAGGCAAGTTTGTAAGTTTATTGGCAAGAAGTTGAAGGAGGTTTTTGGGTTTTTTTATTACCCCCAGGAAAGTAATGTGAGATCATTATCCAAAAGATAGGGAAGGTGCTAAGGTCAGAGGCCTGAGGAGAACATTCATTTCAAAACATAGAGAGATTATCAGGCATAATATAGGGCTCAATCAGTGTGGAAGATAGTGAATTTATACTGACATCAGTCTGCATAGTTTGTGTTTTTCCTATAGCCATCTTTTAAAAGGCTTAAAGAGCACTAAATCTGTATCTCAATTTTATGGCATGTCTATTCTTGTTTAGGGAGGAGAGATTTAATTTTATTTTTATAGCACTTATAATCATGCTGTTATTATAAAGACTTATAGAATTAGTTCGTTCTTTTTTTTTTTTTTTTTTCTTGTGCTGGGGATCATGCATGCTAAGCAAGCACTCTACTGCTCAAGCCAGACTTCCAGGCCCCTTTTTTAATTTCTGAAAAATACATCATTAAAAGCCAGAAAAAGGAGTCCTTGTTACAAACTCTGTGTAGATAAACATTTTCGATCCATATTAAAGCATCTTTGCTAACAAAACTATTTGATTTTGTTTACTGACTACATCTATCTTGAATACAAGTTGAGATCATAAGATTAAGGAATTTTTACATGGTTTTTGTGAAAATTGAACTTAATCATTTGGGGTTACCATTTGCTTATTTGGGGGTCCATGTGAGGGTGGATTGTGTTGCCACCTTTGCTAAATTTATTGTGTCTCTTGGTATATTTGAGTGTATTTATGAATTCTCTATTCCATTGGTCTGTTCGTGAGTTGGTATCATACTATATTAGTTACTATGATATATAATTAGTATCAGTGTGTTATGGAGGCTTTAAAATATGTTTTAATTTTTAATAGTGAGTATGTTGTACTTCTCTATTTTTCTGTCTGAATTTTCTTGACAATTTTTAAGTCCTCAAGTTCATATTAGAAAAAAATACTCTGTAGCTCCCTCCATTGCCACCACCCTGTAAAAATAATCTATATTAGAATCTTTTAATTTTGTAAATTAGGGAGAATTAGTATCTTTATGACGTAAGTCTTCACATTTAAATATCCCTATGTAATGGTTTTCTTTTTTTTTTTTTTTTCTCCTAGTGGTATCACCATTTTCTTTTAGCATTGGTGATACTACAGAACTGGAACCATACTTACATGGAGGCATAGCTGTACAAGTTAAGATTCCTAAAACATTTTGCTTTGTAAGTACTTCTGTTCTGCTTTAAAAATATTTCTTTACAGGAAAAGAATAATGTAAAAGAAAAAAGAAATAAAATACCCAGTTAAAAAAGGCTGACCAAATTTCGTTTTTGTGTTTATTTTTAATTTACACTCTCTTGGGTGAAAACTGATACCTATAGAAAAACTTAAGGCCTGGAGATATAGCTCAGTGAAGCTCAGTAGGGCACTTGCCTAGCATGTGCAAGGCCCGTTGTTCCATCCCAGTACTGCAAAAAATAAATAAATAAAATAAACATTTTTTTATACATTAAATACTATGTACATGTAATTAGGGTATATGAGTCTGTCACAAAGGAACTATATACTCCTGAATAATCAAAAATTTATCATATATCTTATTTACTTTCTAAGACAAAACATATATTTTCAAAAGATTTAGCAAGTATTGTCTTGCTTATTTAATTTTTAAATCAAAGTGATATTTTCCTTATTATACTTGTTAACCCAAGTCTTAAATTTTTAGATTCAAAAAACTGTATATTTTTGAAATAATTCCCATATGCTCCTGGCAATACAAGGAAAATGTAAGTTGCTGAATAGAAAGTAGAGACTGCTTGTGTCCTAGAACTAAGGAATCTCATACTGCTTAAATCTTAGGCCACTTCTCAGTGTAACCTTTTATCATATCTCTGGTTGTTTGGTATTTGATGTTGTTTAGATTTGGGGGTTGGAGTATGTTTGCAAGTTGTCAAGGTTTTAACTTCATTGACTTTTTTTCCCCTAGAACTTAGCAGCTATAGTCCTTTTCAAGGATTTCTTCAAGCCAAAGTTAAAATGATACAATCAGATCTGCCCCTGCATACTTTCTCTTGCTCTGGTTCTAATTTTTGATTGGATAGTTTATTACTCAAATAATTTCAGATTGAGTGGGTATTTGGATGTTACTGTTTTACAGATTTTTGTTTGCTTTGCCTTTGTGTTCTTTACATACACAGAAGATTTTAACTTTGAGTATCTGTTCAAGGCTTGGGAGGTAAAACTAGTCTACATTACTTGATATCAGGAAAAAATATGGTAACTTTATTTTTGCTATAAAGTGAACTTTGTAGATTAAAGGTTTTGGAGTATAGAGATGTTTTCACTAATTCTTTTCAAGTTTACTGTATGGAGGGTTTGGGGGTTTTTTGTTTTTTTTGTTTTTTTTTTAGGTAGTAAGAGAAAATCGTAGCTATTTTATAATTGAATTAAAACATATCAGTCCAATCTTACTTATTTTAGACCTTTGGGAAAATGCAATCACTTTCACTGATTCAACATGTAACACTATATTTCTGAAGTAGTCACTCACTTTCTGTGAAGTAATCATTTTTTTCCTATATTAGGAACGATTGGAGACACAGATAAAACATCCAAAGTGCCTTATTGCGGATTTTAGCAAACCTGAGGTAAATAAATACTTTGCAGGTTTGGAAGAGGCCATAGAGGGCAGTGGGGGTTGGTAAGTGATTATAAAGTTAATTGCTGTTAGGTTTTCTTAAGGTTATTCTTATTGATGCAAAGTTAACTCTGAAGAATTAAAAATGGGAACTTTTAGCATGGAAAAAAATGTTAGAATATCAGGAGGAAAGTTTTACTTCATAGTGACTTGCTGACATGCATTTATAATTTAAAAAAATAGGTCAATAACTTATATGATTTAAAAGATTTTCCTAACCATATAGAGTTTTGTGTAATATAAAAAGAAAAAACCTTAAGCATATACCATAGTCTATTTTTTTAACCACTGGGTGTAATTTTGTAACAGTAAATGTATTTGTGCTGAGGAAAGAATGAACAGGTGCCAAATTTGTATACGTTGATAAAGGAAAAAATAATTAGGTGATCATTACAAATGATTTGTTACTGTTGTTCAGTTTACTACTCTTAAATTTCATGTTAAGGCTAGTCATACCACTTGGAGTTGACACTTGAAGATGTTTCTTAAAAATATCTGTATGTCCTTGAAGTGATAATCATACTATTAATGTTCAGGATTAAATTAAATAATGTTTGAAAAGCATTTACCACAATGCCTGCTACATATTATGCTCTCAGTAAATGTTGGCCATTTTTTACTGTCTTTAATAGGCTCCTTTACAGATTCACACAGCTATGCTTGCTTTGGACCAGTTTCAGGAGAAATATAGTCGGAAGCCAAATATTGGGTAATGTTTTTTGTTTTAAAATAACTGTTTTCCTTTTTGTAAAAGCTATGTTTCAGAAATTATATATTAAAAAAACTAAAGCAATATAATTGCAATATCAGTAAGTACACCAAACTGTATAAACTTTTATTATGACTTTTTTTGGGATTTTTTTTTTTTTTTTGAGGGGGGAGTGTTTGTTTTGGTGGGAAAAAGAAATTGGGAATGGGATCATACTGGCTGAATTTTCCTAGTCTTTTTGTTTGTTTTTGTGGGGATGAGAGTACTGAGATTTGAACTCAGGGCTTCTCATTTGCTACACAGACGCTTTACCACTTGAGCCCGTCTACCAGCCCTATTTTTTGATGGGTATTTTTGAAATAGGGCCTCTCAGATTGTTTGCCTGGGCTGGCTTTGAACTACAATACTCCTGATGTCTGCCTCCCAAATAGCTGAGATTACAGGCAGGAGTCACCAATACCCAGATAATTTTCCTATTTTAAGCCTTTAAAAAACTATTAACTTTTTAAATGAAAAGCAGAATTACTAAACTATTAATCTAGGGTACTATTTTTTTCCTTCTAGTCTAAGTCATAAACCATTACAAAGGGTCATTCCTTGTGTATTTAAAATTAAATCTTTTTTATATACTGCCCTTTGGTGATTATGCTTTTGAAGTAACATTTATAAGCCAGTTACCTTTAAACTCAGTGAAACACTTTGTGCTATGTACTGGCAAATATCTCCTTTTTTTTTTTTTTTGGCAGTACTGGGGCTTGAACTCAAGGATTACACCTCGAGTCACTCCACCAGCCCTTTTTGTGAACAGCTTTTTCAAGATCGGGTCTCGTAAACTATTTGCCCAGGCTAGCTTTGAACCATGATCCTCCTTATTTCTCCCTCTTGAGTAGCTAGGATTATTGGCATAAGCCACTGGCACCCAGCTCCACATTTTTTACATATAGCTCGTGTTTTAGTTTTGAACGTGACTTGCTGTTTATAGCAATAGAGAAAGTTGAAATCAAAGTGCTTTGTTTTATTTTATTTATTTATTTTTTTTTTTAATTTTATTTTTATTTTAGTGCTTTGTTTTAAATTGCAGATGCCAACAAGATTCAGAAGAGCTAATGAAACTGGCGACATCAGTAAGTGAAACCTTGGAAGAGAAGGTGAATATTCACAGCTATTTCTGTTTAAACTGGGCGAGCCTAGAATCTGAGTCCTCCCCATCTCAGCCTCTTGTATAGATAGGATGACAGGTCAGATT